AACGAGTGTTAAGTTAGTTCCCCTGCATAGGTCAGAGATTTAACGTGTCACAAGAAACATTTCAAACAGGTTTCACACCTTTGTCAATGGATGCTCTTGCTCCATACTAAAGGCCAGATGACTGTAAAGCATTAACAACAAGGAATCTCGAAGACAAAATGACTAAGAAACAAGTGCACAACAAATATGCCGAGCAAAATGAAGGTGGATCAGCCACATAATGAGGGGACCATTGCATGACAAAGCACGTCAGACCTTAGTGTGGAATCCTAGCCAGAAACAAAAAGTCGGGCGTATTTCTGAGGGTGACATGGAAGAGATCATGTGAGTAGGGGGTAAAAGCTCATAGTCAATCGCCGAGCATGAAAAGGGTCAAATAGAGGTGTGTTGCTGAGGCTTTGTGTTCCACCGGGAACTTAAGTTTCGAATAATTATGCTAATATATCCAACTGTCGTCAGTTGAAGATATTCTAACACCAAATATAAGGATACATTTGTGAAACTAAAGTCAACTGTTTGATCAGGGAGGCCGATTTAGACTTTATTCATCCATTGCACTGATGAAGAGCGCCGTGACTGCTCAGGTGGATGTGTATATTCCTCGGCTTCCCAGTAGATGCAGAGTTTTCAGTATCAGATCTGTGTAAAATATTGTTTATATTCACAATAGCTTTATGGCCTCCTGTTTGAGAAGTGACCACTGCATATGTCCGTAGACAAAACTTGCATTCATCAGAATAAAGGATTAGTAATTTTGTATATATGGGCTATCTGGAGTTCAGACAGGGATTGAGCTTGCCATTGTAAAGTTGCTGCCACTATTTGGTTTGAATTACTGCTTAAGTATACTGAGACTCACATTTTTAGTGAAACTGTGTCCAGTGACCTTCACATGCATTGGAATAACAAACAAAACTCGGAAGGTGTGTTTGAAGAAAGCCAACTCGCTAATTCGTACGGGTGAACTTAAGCATCTCAGTGAGTACATTTTTTCACTCAATGAGAGTATTATCCCCTTGATTCGCCACGTACAGTTATCAAGCTGATTGAATACTTTCAGTCTACTTACGCACTACTATCAGCATAGTTCAGGCTCCCATGCCTTCGGTAAGTTTGGTTTCTAAGATGGTGTATAAAGCCCGTCTTTATGATTCTGAATGGAACCATGCAACTGAAGTTACCCAACCATCTTCCAGAAGGCAGGTCCTACACAATGAACTGACGAACAGTCAGTTCTCTGGATTTCCTATCCCTCAAACACCTCAATCAATGTGAATCTAGGTGAAATACAACTCAAGAATTTCATAATACATATCATTACTAATTGTGATCAATAGTTTCTGTAATTGACTTATTCCATATGAGAGGTACTCACCATATGATTATCTTACTTATCGTATCATCACCTGTAAAACGCCTACTATAATTATGCGGATGCATGTGGAACATAGACACATGAACAGAAGACACTTTCAACAAATGTATACAATTTATTTATCACAAAAGCATCTTATGAGCCCAACTCACTCATAAAAAAGAAAAGGGACCGTGAAAATTTAAAGATTAAACCTCATTTTAGCTTTCATATTCAAATTAACCGCCGATTATTGTACACCTGAATTGGCTTAAGTTCATTCATCATATAAAAACCGGATATATTTACATGATTTCAATATTGCTTAAAAAATATCAAAATTTAAAAGGTTAATATTTGCCTAGAAATAAAGGTGGTAAAAGAAAAAGTTTTCATTGAAATTACATACATGAAGAATATTATCTTTAGAGTTAGATTTATCTATGAGGAAGACTGTGTTTAAGAAAGATCTGAAGGTGACCAATGAGACTTGTGTTTTTATTCCACTCATCGAATAAAGAATTGTAGAGACTGTGCACCAGTGGAGGCTCAGGTAACTTTTCTAAGTAAGTTTTAGCTGACCGGGATAGGATACATCCATGATAAACTGACCAATCTGTCCACGTTCGGTGTTACCTCCATCCTGTTAATGAGCAGTGAATGAAATAAATAAGGATGAAATATAAGTTTGGGTAAAAGAAAGACTTGCCTCCTGTGTACTGATTACATTTCAAACATAAAAGTGCACATCAATGGGAATTTCGTCATTAATTAGCACCAGATCTATGAGCGATAAAAACGGAGAATCACTGGTCATCGTTTTGTCTTAAGTAGGCAAAAATTTCCTCATAGTTTTATGAAACACATGACAAATGACTCTTCTAGGCAAACTGTCAGCATTCTTCGTCATAGTTACTAAGTCTTTAAGCACAACTCCATGGAGGAAATGACCTCTCAACTCTACATAGTTCGGTTAATAATAAAAACGAAAGGGAATGAAGTGCTAAGCTTTTCATATTAACATTTGGAAACGGAAGATATTCAAAGCTATTGGCATACCGATCATTGCACTTGGACTTGGCAACTATTGAGGTAGATGGCACCTTATAGAAGTGACCGTCAGTTTGAATAACTGCGTAAGTTTACTGCTTTCCGACATAAACAAGTCCAGTGGAATCTTAAGCGGAAATCCGCATTGTCAGTGAGTTAACTGTTCAGAGTGTAATGAATCCATTCATGTAATTAGCTCACTTCAGAAGTGTAAATCTCTAATAGATTGATAAATGAACTATGAACCTCAAAGTGAGAGTAAGAGATGGACAGGATTCGATCAAGAGTTTATATTACTCTGATAAATCTTATCTCAGACTAGAATTTACAGTGAAGTTGAACTACCATAACCAAAGTCAAGGTCTGAAAAAATCTGACTCTGAGGGGCCAATCACATTTAGAGGACGCTATAAAAAGTCATTCCAAATCAAATCCCACCTGCCTTTATGGGTTAGGTAATGGTAGATACAGTATTCTACCTATTCTATAGATACTTTTTTCTCTAAGTCTATGCTATTAGGTAGGGTAAGGTTTGAGGTTTTTAGCATTCAGGTCAGGAGTAGATATAGTGTAAAGAAGTGTCAGGAATGTCAATAGATCTTAGATTTCCGTGGTCTGCAGTCACCTGGAAGAATGCATTTATCACGTGTAGTATAATTTATCTGGGGTGCTTTCTTTCAACGCAGAAGAGACAGTTATCCTGTTCAGTATCATGTTTGCAGTGTTGTTCAGCACAGTTCTCTAACGATTATGCAACTTTTTAAAGTCTGGATTCCAATTCTAAGTAACTCTGGCTATGATAGTTTAACTTCTCTGGATTCATTAATAGATTCCTTTACATACAAGCATATATAGTATATTACTCCCTTGAATTCCAAGTGGAATATAGGGCTTCAACAAAATATCTCCACTTTGTTTTATTTTCTACTGTCCTCTTCATCTGAGTCCACGGTTGTTCATCATCTTTCATCTCCTCCTCGCCACACGAACTCCTTCATATCACCCTCGCACCGACTCCTCACTCATCGCTTTCCACTGGCATTTTACTTGAGCAATGCATGCCTTGCCCACGGTGTCATTCAAGGGGTCCCTTCAACGTGTGTCTGATCCATCTCCATTTTCTCTAACATATTTATTGCGCAGTCGGTTCTTGGTTGGTTTGTTCCCAGCCAGAGTTTCTTGTTGCTAATCCTTTCTCATCTTCAGTATGGAGCCAGCGAAGTCAGCAGCTGTTAATGAAAGTGTGCAACTTGTGGGAAATGCTTTTCGTGGCACACTGGCCAAGTTTTTGACCCATATAGAAGAACTGACTGACTGACTTCACATTTGTGTTTCACAGCATCCGAATTTCATTGTTTATGCTAAGGTGGAGCGCAGAAGATTTCCAAACTGGTTTCAAGTTGATGAAGCCATATCTTGCTTTTTTGATTCTGGCTGGCTTTGACATCTCCACCCGTGCCGTGTGCCTGTGGTTGAAACGTGGTTCCTAGCTGGAGAAGCGAAAGAAATAACCCTTGTCAAATCTCTCTCGTTGATGGTAACTAGTGCTACTTGTTGTTGTTGGCTGGTTATCTTCATCACCTCTGCCTTCTTTAAGTTCACCTGGAGTCCTGCCTTCTCCACCTGCCTGATTTTTCAGCCAGTTTGTTGCTTTTCGCCTGCAAGCCTTCGAGACTGTGTGGCATTATATATATATATATCATCAACGCACGAAATCCAGATCTTGTGGTCCAGCATATTCCTCTCTCCTCAATCTATCTGCATAGTCAGACGCATAATCCAGTCCACCACAAATAAGAACATCATTGTGGGTGATAATAGGCAACCAGCCTTGTTTTACTCCTGTCCTGACTTCGAACACCTCTTTGATGTTTCCGTTGTGGATCACCTTACACGTGGCATAATCATATAGCTAGGTGTTGAATGCCGCACTGGTGAGGTAGTTTCCAAATTACTTCTTGTTTAGCGCTGTCTGGAGAAGGCCTTTTCGAAGTCATTGAAGTTAAAGTACAGGTTTGACTGTCATTCTATGCTCTAGATGTTTGATAACTAAGGTGTATGTAGTTATTTGGAAGGTCTTCATATGGTCACCCTGTTATAACAGATAAAGCAGCTTCTCGAACAACATGACTGTGAAGTCACTAAATTTAACAGCCTTCAGATGATTTCTACTCTACTGGTGGTTTTATATCTGACACTTCAAACAATTAAACACCTGACTAACTCTACCATAAATGAACACGATTGTCTGAATTTATATGAGTACTTTAGCACCATCTTCTATATCACCAGCTAAATATATATTTTAATCATAACCGGTACTCAAAAGCATCATTTGTCGTATGGTACTATTAAATCTGAAGACAGTAGTATATTCTCTGATGTGTGTAGCACAAAACAGTTTTAACCGTCAGATTTTTAACTCATAGAACACTGAAGATAACAAAACGAAACCAATAATCCCTTTTAATACTTACGTATTAGCAATGATTATTCAGCCTGAAGAAACATACACACCATTTTCCGTGGAACAAGATTCCTTTCACCTATCCAATATTCACTATTGAGCATTTGTTTAAGTGGATCCATTGAACACTTAAACATTCATTTCTTCTTCACCATCTTCTTCATCCTCATGTTCTTTATTACTACCATTCCTGAAAATTAATTCATTCTTAGCGGTAACAACTGTTTTTGAATTGTAAAAATCATTATTATACTGCATATATTCAGTCCTACAGATAGGCTTAATGATTTCTTTGCATCCTCCAGTGATATTCCACTGATTTGAATGTGGACAAAGCCATGGAGTGTGTAGACAACAAGGATAGAACATTCTACTTTCACAGTTCAATGGCAATAATTCCTTTGTGTTCAACTCGTTGTGACTGCTAGTTTTTATCTGGGAATTTTTACCTTGAATCTCGACAAACGGATTCGAATAATAATGGGTTGATTCACTGTCGCAGACAGTTATGTCTTTCTGTTGAGTAACTGAACCAATTTTATTCCAATCCATGTCGATTTCATAATCTTTCTCTTCAACTGTCTTAGTTGGATGTTGAAGATGATGGGGAAAAAAAATCTGATTCTTGTAATTATCGATTGTTCCACTATGACTTTTGATAGTATCTCGAAGTTGTAAGTACTCTGATTTGGGGCGATGGTCTGTGAGACAAGATTGTTTTCCACATCTATTATTGGTATTTTGAATATTTTCAACAATTCTATTACTGCTACTTGTTGCACAATAAGTATTATGTTTTGTTTCATTACTAGTTATAGGGTTATCACAGAAATGATAGACAGTAATTTTTTTATTTGTATTTTGCAGATTTTCTTGACCAACTTCTTCTCTAGTAGATTTGGTGTTTTCATTGTCAGGGCAACACAGTAGTACGTAACGACTGTGACACCTGAGAATGTTGTGATAATACCATAAAGAACTGCAAATAATTCCACTTATCAGGCAGATAATAAGAACTCCGAGGGTTATTGAAAATCTTGTGCATACTGTCTCCGATTTGCATTTAAGATCTGATGAATAAAAAGAACCAAAATAGAGATGAATAAGAGGAATTTAATGAGTATTTTTTGCAGTATTTTGCCATTCACTTCGATGCTACTAATCATTTATGAGTAATAAATATTCTAACATAAAACTAAGTCTATGTGGTTGGATTTTTCAAGTGAATCGCATCAGAATATCTAATCAGACTTTATTATTTAATAGAAATTAAGTTAGAATTGGTCGACGCACTACTGGGTGGCATTGTGTAATTTTCATTTGTCGTAAATGTTTAGTCCAATTCACATTATAGCGAGTATTTAATAAATAGCTTATGTGTTTGAAGTTTGGTCACGGATTGATGTCGGTTAGAGAATCTATGAGAATCACCAGGGAGTACTAGATATCTCTTTTGTCCTAGCATGTGATTCTTCATTGGCACTCAGCCTCAAGGGTTCAAACACAGGATCATCCAATTAAAAAGGAAGCTCGTAGACCATTCAGCGACTATGGCGCAACTCAATACTCACGGTTTCTAACTTGTGCCAGTTCATGACTTCAGAATGACCACCACCCAGTATCATGGAGGAGTATTTCTCCCCACTTCCAGCCTGGTGGACTCCATTGGCCACGACTTCTTTCCAAAATTTCAGGCAACTTTGTCCTGTAGATGGTCACTAGCCTGTCAGTATTCCAGTGTCAAAACGGTCTACGAGCTTCTATTGAAACAGGCTGGTGCTTGGTTTGAATCCTGGTAGATGCGTCCTGTAGACAAGTCCCAAACTGGAACGAAACGGCTGTCCAGTATTCCCTCCTGGTTTTGAATGGTTCTTTAACTGGTAGCAATCCACAATCAAACCTGAAACAAAGCAAATCCTTACAGACAAACTTTTGGGAGTCTATTTATTATATTTTTGTGTTTTTCATGTTTCTCTAGCGACTAAATTGATTTTCTGGGAGAGGATCGCTAGCCACTAACCGCTTATATTCCTGACTGTAGTGGACTGGATGATGCAACATCGTGGCCAGTGAGAAGATGGGCATATCCAGAACTGATGAAAAGACTCTAGAAGATTTGGACTTCACAGATTACTTATGACTAGCGTCACACAAATTCACAAATTTAGAGGCGAAAAGCAAAAGGTTGACAGGAGGGGTAGCCAAGATAGCACCTCAGGGGTGAATATGAAGAAAACAGAGGTATTGAAGATACTCGACTGTCAATACCAAACACCAATCACTAAGAAGTTGTCTTTTCGACTTATTGGATGCAAGCAGCTTCGTTTTAGCTACAGGCAGATGGCACGAATGAGAATCGGGAAAGAGAGATTGAAGTTCATTACTCTAAAATCTATGTTCGGATCTATAGCATTGAGAACAAGCAACAATATCTGTATTTTCAAGACTAATTTGAATTCAATGTTTCTAAATGTATCACAGACTTGAACAGAGCATCAAAGAAAGCATTTCCAACTGGCTGCTTCAGACTATCACCGACAGCTGCCCTCTTTACTCGGCACTCAGAATCAGATAGCAGGTCAGAAGGCATAATCAACAAGGAACTCTTGCAATCACACCAATCAAGAACTCACTGCACAACAAGCATGCAAAAGGAAATAGAGATGGGACTGGCATATGCTGAAGAGAATGACGACTTATATCAAACACCAGGGTGTTGTGTGGAACCCTAATGAGAACCGGTAAGTTGGACGTGGGTCTGAGGGTGACACGGAGGAGATCGTGTGTGTAGGAAATGACAGCTTGTGAGCAATCACGAAACCAGCTTAAATAGACTCAGGGTATAGATATATATGTACATATATAAATGATTTTTAAGAAACCGTATCACACCATAAAGTCAATACTTTTAATCATGGTGTAAAATACGATGCAATGTTTGTAGTTGCAATCCTAGTTCAGTATAAAGCAAAAAAAACGAACGACGTAATACATAAAATAGTTGATAGAATGCATATGTCTTGGGTAGGGGTGTAAAATTAAAAGGATTAGAAGACAAACAGAAACTCAACCTATCGAGGTGAGAATTTTGACAAGACACAGTTTAACGTAGTAAAAAAGTATAATGAATTGAAATAACAAGTGAGACAAATGAAATAATACCAGAAAGTGTTCATAGTGAAAGCCAAAACAGTAACAATAAGAAAAATAAATAAGTGTTTCACCCATCCTTTCTTAGGACGTCTTAATCAAGCAAACAACCACAGGGGAATTAGGAACTCAATTTTATAGAAAATGAACTCACATAGACCAAATACTGAATTACAACAGCAAGAACCCAAAAACACACAAAAGGAATTGTTTACAAACACTATTCAAGAGGGCCACGACTCATTGCAGCACTCCCACCTTAAGGAAAATTGAAGAAAGGTAATACATGGACGTCTTCCAAAAGAATGGATATTCACGGAATTTCATCGAAAGACATATATCCCCGAGCCAACCTATCAAATCAAAAGCCCTCAAGGAAAGCACAAAGAAAATCTCCCTACCACATATAAAGGATATCTCAGAAATCTCTGCAAGACTCTTCAAACCTTTAGGAATTGATGTAATACACAAATCAACAAAATCACTTCACTCAGCTCTATGTCAACCAAAAGACTCAACAACATCATCTACAAAATAAATTGTAACAACTGCAAAAAACACTACATTGACCAAAGTGGACGTCCTTTTCATCTTCTTCGCATCCACGAGCATAAGCTAGCCGTCAAAAGACATAAAATTCACTCCTTCATATCACTACATACAGACAACCACGGACTTCAGTTCGACTGGGACAGCACTCAAATATTACACAGAGAAAACACCTAGAATACTAGAGAATTTTAGAAGCCTGGTATTCCAGTGAATCATCATTCAATAGACACATCGAGATAGACAAAATTTAACCACCGATACGAAGGAAATCTCACACAAAAAGGGTCAAATTTCAAGTGAAAGAAACAATTAGTACCAATACAAGTAGCCTAGAAGGTGTTAAAGCACACAAAAACAACCAATCACGTTCAAAGTGGTCACCAGGAGAGATGACTAATAAACTCGTGGAGAAATCTTAAAGCTCACTTCAACTTGAAGCATGCTCTGAAGATGTTGCGTAGTAGGGCAATGAAAGTTTCGCAAATAAACCATCCACATCAGAGGACACAACTACATCAGGATCATCCACCTGAGCTACAAACCGTCTCCATCATATCCATCCTTTCTATTCTACGGTCAAGGTATAAATAAGGATTGTGAATACTTCTTGTTTACAATAAATGTCTGGCTTGAATTCTTAGATGATCAAGGCCTATACTGTCTTCAGAAGTTTGAAACGAAGAAAACGCCACAAGTCAGTCTGAATTCAATAGATGATCTTATAATCACGGTCGTTGTTGTTTGAGTGACAGAAGACGATCAAGTGTTCTAAAATAGATCTTCTTACATCCTGTCATCTTGTAAAGTCATGCTAGAATGTGTTCTCTTATCTGTGTAGGAGGCATTCTCTGTTTACAACCAATTCATCTAGCTCCACAAGAGCAGTTGAACTGATGGATGTACATGAAGGAGATCAGATGAGACACAAAGACGGAGATTTAAGAAAGCTGACCAATGAATTCCTAATCATTAACTAACAACAAGAAAGACCATTTTTAGTATCATAAACATAGAAAGTATTTATTAAGATAAAGGTAACTGATAAGTCATTTTGACATTCAAACCTAAAGTGTGATTGTGTATAGCTTGGATTTCTTTTTATTTTTTGTCGGTGGCATAGCAGTTTGACGCTCGCCGACCATGCACACGGTCTGGGGTTCGATCCCCGGCTGGTGCACTCTTAAGCTCGCTAAGCCAGAACTAAAAAGCTGGTGAAGAGGATTTTTAACAGTCGATGTTTAAAAAATCATATAATTCCGAAATATTTACGTCTACGTACTCCAATTACTTCAAGTAAAATAACATCAACTGCCAAAAATGTCAGTAGATTATGTCTAAGAGAAGAATTACATCGAGTTACTGTGAAACTAAATAATTTACGAAGTGAAATTGAAAAAGTCAAACACAAACTCAAATATATGATCAATGACAAAGATTATACAATTATTCTTGAAACATCCAAAAAAGCTAGAGAATCTGCATTGAGAAAATCAAAAAACACACAAATCAAAAAATTCAACAAACTTATTGAAGAAAAGAACACAGCAAATGAAATTGATGTCAATGCTTCATCCTCGATCGACAAAACAAAGTGGGTGATCAACCTCTCATCAAGGGAACTAAGCTCCAGTGAGATAAAAGTACTGGAGAAAGGACTAAATTTCAACGTAACAGTTAATAAATTAAAACCAGAGGATGTCATTCCTAACATAGAAGTAGCACTAGGTTCAATAGATAAAACAACAGCAGAAGAGGTTAGAGCACAATGTGCATTAACCCTAAAAAATCAAAAGAAGGCAAAATCAAACTTGACAAAGTCGGAAAGAGAAGCTTTAATTAATCTAAAACAGGATAAAAATATTGTCATCGCAAAAGCTGACAAAGGAAACGCCACCGTAGTTTTGGGTAAATCTGACTACATCAAGAAAGTCAATGAACATATTGAAATGGGTCCATATGAGGAAATTAAGAAGCCCGTAGACCCAATAATGAATAAGGTTAAAAAATCCACAGCGGAATTAGTACGCAGAATGAAGCCGTCACTGGGTGAGTCAAAATGGTTAAATTTAATGCCTAAAACTAATAATGCTAGTAGGATGTATGGTACTATTAAAATTCATAAGCCAGGTTATCCCATAAGACCAATAATAGATTTTAGAAATACCCCTACATATGAATTATCAAAACATTTAGCTCTAATATTATGCCCCATTAGAAATCGTTCAAATTCTAGACTAACTAATTCATATGAAATGAAAAATAAACTAAATGACATACAACTAGATAATGATGAAACAATGGTTAGTTTTGATATAACCAGTCTTTATACTAATATACCAGTCAATATGGCCTTAGAAGCAGTTAAAAAGGAACTAACTACAGATGCTGAACTCAATCAGAGAACAAAGCTGTCCATTGAAGAAATTATTTTAGGAATTCAGCTATGTCTCACATCTACTATATTTAAATTCCAAGGCAAAATATATAGACAAACTGAAGGTGTAGCGATGGGATCACCAATATCCCCTATCGTAGCAGATATATTTATGGATAGCTGGGAAAATATGGCACTTAATACGTTTAATCCTGCTCCAAAAATATGGTGGAGATATGTGGATGACACTTTCACAGTGTTAAAAACAGAACATATCTCTAGCTTCTTGACACATATTAACTCACTAGTAGAGGGGATAAAATTCACATTTGAATCGGAAGATGAACAAGGAGAGTTAGCTATGCTAGACTGTAAAATAAAACGAATAGAAGAAGGTAAACTTCACACTAGTGTGTATAGAAAACCAACGCATTCTAATAGATATTTAGATTTTAATTCGTCGCATCCGTTAACTGTTAAGGCAGGCTTAGTTAAGTGTCTAACAAACCGAGCCATAGCACTAAGTAGCACAAAAAAGACCTAAACGACGAGATAAAACAAATAGAAGAAGCGTTGGTGTTGAATAATTACCCTTTAAAATTCATTAGGAAGATAACTAAAGGCCAAAAACAAAATAAAAATAATTATGGAACTAGTAATGATAACATAAATAAGAGAGAATATAAGTCATCCACTGTTATACCATATAAGGAGGGGACATCTGAGACCCTACGTAGGATTTTGAATAAGGCAGGAATTAGAGTGGCATTTAAACCTACAAACTCACTCAGGGACAAGCTCTGTAGGTTAAAGGACCCAGTGGACCCAATTAGACAAAATAATATAATTTACAAAATACCCTGCAATGACTGTGAGGTCAACTACATAGGTCAAACTAGTATGTCAGGGGTAGTCAGATTGTCAGAACATAAGAATTTAGCTAAGGTAAGAATGGTTGACCCAGAGAAGATAAGTAATTTAGAAAAAAGCTCGGCAATTGCAATGCATGCATTAACACACAACCACACAATAGGGTGGGAGAGGGTTAAAATTCTAAAAAGTAATCTAGGTAGGTGGAGAGAGGTTGATTACTGAATCTTTGTTCATCGAATCTACACCCAACACGTGCAATAGGAATGAATCATCACTAATACCCGAAATATGGAAAATAATACTACCAATCAAATCAAGTGAAAATCAAGTGAAAAACAATGGAACTATATAAATGAATTTAGGAAGTCGTGTGATTAACTTGATATGATTATGAGCAATAAATTGTGCTCGAAACGTCATCAGTAAATATTACTGTATAACACTGTGAGACTCTATAAAAATAAAATTTACCCATAATGGAATTACACTCTACCACAGTGCCCAAGTTTTATTCTTATATCGGTGAAGAGGAAAGGTTGGGTATGAGGCTAGCAACCCCATCCTGTAAAATAAACACTGCTACAGAAACTTCAAGCCTCTAGCTTGAAGCCCTATGTTCCACTGGGAACGTGAAGGAATAAAAAAACCAAATAAAAAACTTACTCGTACTTTTAGTTTGAGCAAATGTTGAAGAAGGAAGTGAACTGTTCCAGAAAATCTTCAGATGAACAGTTTTAGTCAAGATATATATTTCTGGGTAGATATTATCCTCTGATTTGTGTAAATGATACGTACTATGAGGTGTCAGTTTAGTGAAGTCGTTAATCATTGGTGACTGCAAAATAAAAGAATAGGTAGGAAAACTGTTAGGATAGGAAAGACACACTATTAAGTAGTATTTCTGGTGTCAGATGTGAATCAAAAGTTCGACCTTAACACAGATGAAAAGTTATGCTAAAGAGTTCTTTCCGGTAGTAAACTAAATGGTAAAACATAGTTTTTGCATAAAGAGTTGTAGTTTACTGGTCATGTATTATAACTGTAATTTCTGGTTATTTCATCATTTTCTGGGAGGAATGAATGTCGCCTTGTCAGCCTGTGTTTCATGTCTTCCCAGTACAGGAATAGTATTTGAGTGATCAGTTATATACTGTCATTTCTGGAAGAACAGCCGTTAAACAACAGAGATCTTTAGGGTTTGCAGCCAGTCGATTAGAAGGAGCCCAAATCAAGGATAATTCGGCTAAAAGGGTAGAAAATAGAAGGCTTGATTAGGGTATCTCTACATATAGCCAAATTATGTACAGCTTATCTTCAGCGCACCATTTGCACATATCTGCCGTGTTTTGTTACTTCTGGCCCACCTTCATATTGTATTACTTTGTGTTCCTTTCACATCTCCCATGCATCTGCGCAACGCTGTATCATTTGCTTTCTCTAACATCAAATCAAAACGTCTTTTTATATACTACTGGTAAATCTTATCAGTAACACACGCTACACGGCCACTTCAGAAAAAAAACCAAACTGAACATATAAATAAAGTGTGGCTTACTTTATTTATGAAACTAATAATTCGTATGAACCACAGCTGGACTCATCATTTTGTATCTATGAGTTCATTTCCTACTGTAGAGCTAGGTAATATAGACCGTACTCGGCGTTTGCCAACGAAACATATCATCGGACGCTTAAAAAGAGAGAAATCTAGTCAAAGGAGCAACAATCAGACTCCTTCAAACCTCAGAGACTATGACAGTGCACATGGTAAGTTCTGAACTTACTGTACAAAAGACGTTTGTTTATCCACTGAACCTAAAATGGGCCTAAAGTGTCTCAGTGCATGATATATGATTTTATGTTGATCTGATTTTTATAAACTTTTAAAAATTTTACTGGTTGGAGGATTTCATTATGAGCTGACATCAGTTAGAGAACCAGTGGAAAACCTGGGAGTACTGGACAGCTGTTTCGTCCAATACTTGAAAATTAATTTGATGCTCACGAGCGACTGGTCCTATTCAGGTAGTTACTTGGAGTTCTAGTAGGAAGCCTAGGACTGTAGGTTATAACAGGTCGACGGTGAGGCAGTAACTCATCGAAGAAGAAATTGCTAGGTGGTCACGCTATTTCATGAATTGGAAGAAGTTAGAATTCATGGGCTGGCCATTGGATCGTGAATTCGCACACAGTTTTCGTCTGATGTAACGCAGAGCAATTCTCAACAGAGAAAAAGAAAAATTTTTGTAGATACTTGGATATTGTTTCAGATGGAACAACAACGCAGCATCACACGATGTAATACTGAGTAGCACTTTACTTGAAGATCCTGTACGAAGAGTAGATACTTTGCAATTTAAATACGCTGAAAATTCTCTACTATGTGTTAACCTTTGGTCTAGAATAAAGCTATTATTATTCAAGTATTGATTTGTAGGGATTTGATTAGTTATAGGATTTTCATCATGAGCTGAAATTAGTTAGAGAACCATTGGAAAACCTGGGAGTACTGGACAGCTGTTTCGTCCTAGTTTGGGACTCTTCATCAGTATGCACCCACCGGGATTCGAACCCAGGACTTTCTGGTTACAAGGTGAGCTCGTATACTATTAAGCCATTTGCCACAGTCAAATAATAAAAGATTGCATGAATTTTTGGTATTTCATTCTGCTGGTCCAAGATTCATCTCACCTGTTCAGCTGATGGAGACATTTTGTCTGTTGCATCTTATTGATATGATTATGAGCAATAAATTGTGCTCGAAACGTCATCAGCAAACATTACTGTATAACACTGTGAGGCTTTATCAAAACAAAATTTACCCATAATGGAATTACACTCTACCACAGTGCCCAAATTTTTATTCGTATATCAATGATATTTCGTTATTATTATTATCATCTAATTCCTTTTGCGTTTCCAGCAAAACATGGGGCTTGAAGCTTCAATTTTGAAGTTTCACTTGCAGTGATGCTTTTACGGAGTTGCTAGACTCACGCTCAACCTCCCCTCGTTGTCGGGGTTACAACCAGCTCAGAGAGGAAGAAAGTTGTGCGCCGGCCGGGAATCGTGCTACCTGACACTCGTCAGCAAAACGTATCTGCAGCCTTAAAGGAATTCATGTTCCTTCTGAGACTCAGACCCAAGCCACCAAATATATTCCTACAATAGGTCAATCGCAAGCCCTAATAGCTCTGTGGTAACGTCTCTGGCTGCAGCATTGAGTGACGCGTCTTCGAGTCTCGGAAGATACATGAATTCCTTCAAGATTGTAGATATGCCTTACTAAGCAGTGCCAATTAGCACGAAATCTAGGTCCAAGGCTTCTTGCCGATTGCCTCTAACTATCTAATATCATCAAATCAATGTGTATCGGGATGGCGAACTACCTAAAATGGTGGCCACATTGCAAACGTGACTGATAGAATTCAGTCTACACTGAACAAAGGACTAGACACATCACACTAGTTACTGACGTCCAATAAAAGTAGTTCTTAATTTAACGCATATTCACCTTAATACAACATTTTCATATATATTTTCACACTTAAAGATGCTTGTTCACTAATAAATCTTTGACAATTTTTAAGCGGGCATCTTAAAACAATTTCCAAATAATGCAGAAAGAATATATCAATAGATAGAAGGAATATTTATTACTGTCAGAAGTTTGATATTTTAAAAGTAAATAAGCACCGTATTCTTACCCATGTACACCATTCATAGCGTTGACAAACACGAAATATACAATTAATTTGTAATCCTGATATAGTTGTGTAATTCTTCATTGAATATAAATAATCTTGGATTTCTTCGGGGGAGGGGGATTTCAACCCACTGAGAGAGGAAGTATTTCTCAGCATACTTCTGTCACCTTTATTTTGAAGATATTCACTCAGTGAGAATTTGAAACTTCCGTAAGTTAACAGTTGATCTGAGGTAAATTTTATGCCTGTCACATTGTCAGATGAATGAACCAAGTAACTGCATTAAAAATGCAAAATGAGAATCAGATAAAAGGAGTTTTCACAATCAATTTAAAAAAAAAACAAAAAATAACTTTCATTTATTGAAGATGCCCATAAAAAGAGTTTGAAAGACTGATTAATGAACAAAGAATATTCGGAATTTCAATAACCTGTTCTTCATCATCAGGTTCGACATTTATACGACCATAGTAATTATTGAAATTGGTTTTGTAGGGACTTTGTTTGATTGGTTGGAGGATTTCATCATGAGCTGACATCATTTAGAGAGAACCATTGGAAAACCTGCAGAGAGTATTGGACAGCCAGCTGATTAGTCCTAGTTTGGGACGCCCCCACCACCAGGGGGGCTTGAATCCAGGACCTTCTGGTTACAAGGCCAACTAGCTCGTATACCATTAAGCCACTGGGACCCGATCCATCGGGATTCCATTTTTAAGCGGTGGACACTGCACTGAGCACCATGTCATTCGACAGCCTTCTGAACTTATGCCTGATCCATCTCCATTTTCTACTACATATTTGTTGAGTAATCGGCTCTTGGTTGATTTGTCCATCACCAGAGTTTCTTGTTACTAATTCTTTCTGGCTGGCCGACTGGCCATTTGATCTTCAGTATGGAACCAGCCAGCGAAGTGGGCAGCTGTTGATAAAAGTCTGTAACTTGTTGGTAATCCTTTCCATGACTCGAACTCAGTGCAAGTTTCTGACCCGTATGGAAGTACTGGCGGCTGACTTGACAGTTGTGCTGAATGGAATCCGAATCCTATTCTTTATGCTGGTTGAGTGACGCAGAAGACTTCCAAATTGGTTTCAGGTTGATGAGGGCTGGCTAGCTTCGACATCTTCATCCGTTCCGACTGCCCATGTTTGACACCATGCCTCCTAGATAAATGAAGGGAGTGACCCCTGACAAATGTCTCCCGTTGATGGTGATTGGTGTTGATTGTTTTGCTTGGTCGCTTATCTGCATCACCTCTGTCTTCTCTATGTTCACATAGAGTCCTGTCTTCACTGCCTACCTCTTCAGTGAGTTTGTCGGTTTTTGCCAGCAAGTCTTTGAGTCTGTGTGACACAATGATCTGCTTGATACCATGAATGGTACAGGTTGCCCCCAAAAAGATGTTGATACTTAACCTCAAATTCAAAAGTGATACCAAAGCAGAACTTCTCCGCAAAAGGCTTTCAAAGTCTATCAGTAAGACATACTTCTCCGTCAGCCTACGAGTAATATTTTCCTGCAAGAAACTATTCAGCGAGCAGGTGAACGACAAGCTATCGCATTGGGACACTTCAACATACATATACTAGTTCACTCGGCTCATGTGGAGCCGAGTACATTGGTCGTACTATGCGTCCACTAGTAAAACGCGCTAGGGAACACTATCCAGCATGGTTAGCGAAAGGAGAACGCAAATATCTAAATGGCTCAGTAACAGAACACCAGGTGAACTCAGGGCCTTCAGCTCATTTAAAAAGTCTTTCAAAGTCATGTACAAGATTCGGTCGAACTTCACAAAGGGAGTGAAATCAAGGCATCTAGGAATAGCTGAGGCACTGGCGATCCAATAACTCAAGCCCCCAAGCTTTATGTCCAAAAGAAATACGCCCAACCGTTGTCCCTACCAAGGCCATCACGAAAACTAGGTGTCAATGGACGTGAACATTGAACGTTTGTTTATTGGAACTGGTAGCCATTGGTGGGCAACTCGAAGGCAGGAATGGTTCGATCGTGTGCAAGTTCGATGAAGACGAAAGAATACGAATAACAGTACATTGTATTTATTTGTAAACATTTGTTTATAGACTTGTAATTGTCTTTACTTTAACTGCCAAACAATATAACTTCCTTCAAAAAAGTGCTGCTGTTTTGGAGCTGAAGTCGAGACAAGTACATAGTAATTATCGGTTCAGAGCGTCTTCGTTACAATAGGAACTTAGGGATAAGTTCCTTGACAGTAGGTCCTCCTCCTCACCAAAAATGATCTTCCTATTGCCTTCCTCATCCAACCTTCTTGTTTATTTCTCTTATTTTAACGTTTTTAATTCCTACCTGCATTGCTAGATTTGGTTGCTGTTTTTTTATTTTTATGTGTCCGAACTTTCTACCCTATTTCGTTAATACCACATCCTTAATCTGTTAATGTGCAAACTGACGAGTTTTCCAGTAATTATGATCTTGTTATGCTTTTTCTAACCGATCTTCCTGATTATTACACTTAGTAATTTTATCAATTTGACTTCTGACCTCAAATATTTCTAGAATAGTACTACTAATGCCTATCTTCTGTTTATTACACTTAGTAATTTTATCAATTTAACCGTTGACCGGAAATAATTCTGGAACTTCCTCACACATTTACTATAAATACACGAATATGCAGCTATCATCTTGTTGACGACTTCGTCAAAAAGAAAATTCTCTTCGTTGCAACCATCTTTTTAATAATTTCTCTGATCCAATGTGCATGTTGCGTCGGTGGCACAGCGGTTAGGACGCTCGCCGACCATGCATATGGTCCGGGGTTCGATCCCCGGCCGACGCACTCCTTTACTCCTTTACCTCGCTAAGCCAGAATTAAAAGCTGGTAAAGAGAAAAGGTTGGGCATGAGGCTAGCAACCCTATCCTGTAAAAATTGGCACTGCTACAGAAACTTCAAGCTTCTAGCTTGAAGCCCTATGTTCCACTGGGAACGTGAAGGAATAAAAAAATGTGTATATTCCGTAATAAGAAGAATAAAATCGCAAGCAATAGAGGAAAAGTAGATGTAATATGATGAATGGAAATTAAGATAGCTTAGTGATTTGAAAAGGCAGACAGAATTCTAATCAATACTTGTTAGTGTGTGGATATCATCTGCTGTTCTGTAATGTGTTATATATAATTCATATAATTCTAATTAAAAACTGAACACTCACTTTCTTTGAACAAAAATCATTATTTTTTGTGACTTGATATCCGAAGATAAAGTGCTAAGTGAACACTGATCAACACTCAAATATTTGTACGATGCTAAAATAAGAAACAAACAATTTGTACACTTTATTTAATATCGAAATCAAAAATATAGTAAATACGATTCTTGATTTTTAAGACTTTAGTAAGCATTACATAACTAGTTATCGTGCACTTATGGTTGGCGTCTTTTGTATTTCCCATACTTTGTGAGACTGAAATCTCATTGGTTGTGTGTGATAGCACTCATTATAATATGTCTTCGGGATCTTTGCTATTTTTTAATTCATGGAAAATTCCGCATTGTAACATATAGAAAATCAAAACAAGTGATTCAGCGGAGAGACTCTTCTCAACGAATTCATTATCAAACTGTACAATCGTATATACACATGGTTTTTAAGAAATTATGTCCGGTGAGAAAATTAGTTCAAAGGTGTGAATGCATAAAATAATAATAGTAGTATGAAATGCAGTTGAAATATTTGTGATTATAATCATAGTTTAATGTCAAGTAGCAAAACAATTACTGTCATATATAGAATAATTCATGTGCGTTTACAAATTCACCTGCTCGTCTGGAGCTAGGTATATCGGCTCAAGTTTTGTCCAAGAGGGTGCAAGAACAATATCCTGTATGGTTCTGAAGAGGTGGAAGTGGAGCAGTAAGAAGCACGATCATTGAACATCTGGTCGATAATCATCACCCTATCTCTATAGCCTCCACCTTTAAAGTCACCTACAAGGCAAAGAATAATTTACGCAAATCCCTACATACCCGACTCATCTGTACAGTTGAAGCTTTAGTCATCGAAATAGAATAGCCAGATCTCTGTGTACAGGAAAAGTTCGTTCAACCCCTCCAACTTACATAGTCTTAATCCATCTGTGCTAAAGTATGGTTATCCCTAATCATATTTTGGCTCTACCAGTTTTTTTCATTTTGTCTATTCATTTTGTATACTCTTCCTTTATCACGTCATTTGTTACTATTACTGTTCATACTTTTAACTGTCCGTGGTATTATTTTACTCGTTCCACTTGTCATTCTAAATCAATCCTGTTTTGCAACGTTAAATTCTATGTTATCGAATTTCACGCAATATTACGTAACGTTTTTATTTTTATTCTATTTGCTTACTAACCCTGTAATTTCACACCCCTACCTAGTTCTATACATCCTATGAATTATTCAATATGTGACATTAATTGTTTTACCACTTGACATTTAACTATGATTATAATTACAAACATTTAAATTTTAATTGCATTTCATACTACTATTATTATTATTATTTTATGCATTCACACCTATGATTCAACGCTCTCACCAGATGTAATTTCTTTAAAAAACCATAGATATATACACGATTGTACAGCATGATGATAAATTCGTTGAAAAGAGTTTCTTAGCCGAATCACTTGTTTTGATTTTCTATAATGTGTCTTGACTACTATTCAAGGCGTCTTTTATTGTTTTCACTTGCTGGTGATGTTCAATGATTAGAGTAGATTTTACTGGCTTATGGCGTTTGCATTGTTCAGAGTGTAATAGGATGTAACAGAGGTCATATTTTTAAAGAAAATACTAAGATTTGACAGGATTTTATAATGAATTTTAAAATTTTCCCAAGATTGTTTTGCGGGATATCAATAGTGAGAAGAATATCTTGACTTGACAACACCAAATGACCCAAACATCTTTTCTTTTTTTATACTTATCATAATATATAATACTCTTTCAATTACACCAGTAACTTATTTTTATCTTATAAAGCCAAGTGTAACGACCAAAATCGACTTGTTATAGTCTGAACGCAGAAAACTGATCTCTGCGTCCTACTGTAAAGCTGACCAAAACTGTCTTCACCGACACATAGTCAAAATTCCCTTCAAAGACAGCAAAAGCACCATTATTCGTAGTGAGATCTATGTGTCTGTATTCAACAACAGAAATAACACCAAAAACTCAAAATGACCTGAACAGTGCTGTTACTCAGCTAGCTATACAGTCGAGAGAACTTTCAAGTACAAAACAGGTACTGTAGGAAAAAATTAGTTAGTCAGAATTCAACTGTGAGAAGTACCTCAGAGTCAAGTGAAATATTCTAAACATGGTGGGATCAAAAAATCCCACTACAAGAATGACACACTAACTATTCCCGCGAACAGCCCAAGGTCAGAATCGCCTTTATGCACTCAAAGAAAATCACATTGGGAAACAACACATTATCAATGTATCATCACACAAGCACAAAGAGAAGCAATGGAATTAGACATTAAACACTGAGAAAGACAAACAATGAGGGTAAATTCAACAAATGATATGCAAATGACAGAACAATGATGTGCAGTTCAGATGACAAACGGATAATAATTGCAAAGTTAGTTGAAATATCCAGAAATTCCCTTCACACAAACTGTCTGTCAAATTTGTCAATATGTAAACGAAAACCAGCTGAACATTGGATTACCGACAGCTTGTTTAAAAGAACTTCTACTTAGATGTACACTTAGTGTACAATTCACATTCAACAATGTTATTTACAGACAACAAGATGGGATTACGACGGGATCTACACTGGGTCCATTACTAGCAGACTGCTTCATGACAAACCTCGAAAAGAGTCCACTGAAATTAACTGTCGATAATTTCCAATTGTATGCTAGTTGTGTAGATGACATCTTTATTATCTGTGATGATGGTTACAGTCTTAATCAGTTACTACAAATATTCAACAAATGCCATTCAGCTACAAAATTTACTCTTGAAATAGAAAACGGATCTAAAATTCTTTTTCTTGATGTTAAGCTTACAAGAAGATCTGACAGAACTTTAAGGAGGTCCATCCATAGGAATCCGATATGAAACCGCAAAATGACAAGCTTCTACAGCTGAGTACCAATCAGCTGAAAAAGAAACCTAATTAGATCTCTTATTACTCAAGTCTGACGCATCTGCAGCTCTGATAACCTGGAAGAAGAACTACACTTCCTGAAAGAAATCTTCATAGAAAACGGATATCCACCAAGATTCATAGACAAAAATATCAAACAGAAAATCCAAAAGCAAGAGACGCCATCCGTGCCAAAAAAACGATACTTTATATGAACCTCGACTCCAAAGGTGACCTACTCAGTGATATCCTTAGCAGGAGAATCTCCACTTCTTTAAGAAGAACATTGATAGTAGTGTTCTCCAGTCGACCACTGATCTGCAGAAGCCCAAAGGACAAGATCTCGCACCTGACCACTTCTATATGTATATTTCAGTTCACCTGTTGCTGTGCTGCCAGGTAGATCAGTCATCCAACGCACATTTTATCAAAAAGAATCAAAGAACACTATCCAGCGTGGCTGTAGAAAAAAAGTAGTGGGCATATAAGGAATACAATAATCGAACATCTTGTCACCACTGGTCATTCCTTCTAAACAAACACCTCCTTCAAAGTAATTTACAAAGTGAAGAATAACCTGCCAAAGACAATACGTATACCGTCTTCTTTGCACTGCAGAAGCCGTAGCCATTCAGTTAGCAGAACCGGAACTATGCATACAAAAGAAAATTATTCAACCACTTCTACTATCATGGTAACAACTCTGTTGGTTTGACCTAATTTTGCTTGTTCTCTTGTTTTTCTAACTGCACAAGACTCTTGTATTCACTTAAAACTCCTACGTAATTGCTTATTTATTTTGTTTCCATGCGCACCCTGAGCCCAACTCTTTCGTCTAACTATTCATGTTATTACGCAACTCTTCTTTAACAATCATTTGTAACAACTCACCCTTTTTGTTATTATCCTTTATATCAACATTCACTTTCTCTGAACGCTTTTTGTATTACATAACTCCACCAAAAATTTACTAATTGTATTTTCATTTAACAAATTTAATGCACCCACACATACAAAATAATCATATACATTTGTGATTGCACAACTGTGAAAATGAATTCGCCGAAAAGATACTCTTCGCTGAACTACTGGTCTTCTCTCCGCTATATTTTCCATAATTCCTTCCACTTCGGAAATTATTAACGTTCTTAATCCATTTTCAGCCTTTTTAAAACATATTATTAGCAAATGACTAACTGACATTACAAGTGTTTTTAGTAAGATCACGTTTTTTACCATTAGATAAGGATCTAAGACTTTGAAGTCAATATAAATAAGCCTCCTGTAGAGCAGGCTGCTTACAAAGTTTGTCAGTAGTCCATAAAGGGACGTTCATCAGCACACAGTTATCAGATAGCAGAGTGAAAGACTTGACGTCAAATACAGTAAATGAACCAGTGTTGCGATGATACGTGGAATACACGGAAAGAAGACAAAGAAACACAGTATGAAGGATAGAAGTAGCACAAGACGGAAGGTTTGTGCAAATGATTATTTTCCTATAAGGTGCAAATAATTCCCCTACATAGAGATATCAAATCCCAAATAAACATTCCGTAACTAAGTCTCCTGTTGTTTACCGTTACGTTTGGTGTCTTTGCCTGCTGACATGATCATTCGGTGGCCTTCTGCTTTCTAAAAAGGCGACATCAGGAGTTTCTTGCGGGAATTAGATGCCGTCGCTGAGTTAGTGGATATCATGGATCCAACGACTAAGGCGGTGGTGCTGGAGACACTGCTGAGAGGTAGGGCAAAGGTGGAGTACGGTGGTGTGGAGCAATCAGGTGATAAAGAGACTTATAAGATATTGGTTAAACGATTGGTGGCGGAATTTGATTGCCTGAAAGACTGGCAGCTGGCAATGCAGCAATCATGCGTTGTGAAACTGGGACCAGATGGAGACTTGTCAGTGTTGAAGATGAAGCTAGACGAATTTACTACTCCCCACATTGGATGAATAGTCAGAGTCGCGTCCCAGTTCATTGAGAGTGTTTCAGACCACATTTCTCAGCAACTAAAACTGGTTAATGCTGCACAACCCATGGACATCGGCGAACTAGCCAAGGTGACAAAACAAATACTGGGTACAACTGTAACTGTTACGCTACTTCTAAAGAGCACAATAAATGGTCATGTAGGTTTTTGAATCTGACTACTTTTGAATAAAATATTGGTGTTGGTGAAACTAAAGGTAGTGAAACAACTTTACGCAGCACAAATACGGTTGCTATCCCTAACTACTTTCCACTCTACTGAGCTGAAAATAATATCATAGAAGGCAGAAACTGGTCTGTGATTACAAGAATAGCCGTATTCGATGAGAGAATACTATACATGTACTGTTAAAACGCTAAGTTACTACTGAAAGAACTTATTCCAAATAGTTGTCAAGTAAATTTATTCCATAAATGATTCCCATCCAGTGAATCATGAAAAAGGAATTAATTTTCTTTAGCTGTATAATGGTATTTATATACAATTTCTTACAAAAAAAGAGGATAGTGACAAAAAAGATGAGTTGCAATAGTCACAGCTGCTGATGTAAACCAATACATAAGTGGAGTTAAATAAGGGTTTCAGATTTACACTATGGGACAAGTACTCTAGTGGGTGAGTTGTGATCAGGGTACACATTAAAGCGAGGGGAAATATGATATTAATATAAGTGTAGAGCTTGGGTACTGTAGTAGAATGAAATTCCATATTAGATAAGTTTATTTTAAATATCATGCAGTAAGTGATGCAGTATCAATAACTGGATGAAGCTTGCAGCATAAGTTATTCCCACTCATAATCATATCAGTTTATGCATATGTTTTCTCAGTTTGTCTTATATAGATTTTCTCTCTATCTGTCTCTCCAGCTTCACTTTATTGTCTGTTGTCACTTCAATGTCTCCGTCACAGGTGTTACATCATTCCGACTGCATTTGTGAGGTGCTGAATCGATAAACAGAGCTTCCATGTTGGTTTGCAGGGATTTGATTGACTGGTTACAGAATTTCATCATGAGCTGACATCAGTTAGAGAATCCTGGTGGGTGCGTACTGGTGAAGAGTCCCAAACCAGGACGAGACAGCTGTCCAGTATTCCATGACAGATTTTCCAGTTGTTGTCTAAGCGATGTCAGCTCATGATGAAATCCTGTAATCGAAGCTTCAGTGATTAACCTCTCTCTCTCCACTCAACTGTATCACTATTTAGTATTGTCATCCTGTGCCACCCTGTCGCTGTGTGATTACATGCAAGTGAATGCAATGCAGTGGCTGAGCTCTGTTTTTTCTAGGTTATTTAATTCAGCATGGTGAATTATTTTAGGTCTAGCTAAGTTACTATGTACGAATAATCCAGTTTTCCTCAACCTACAAGTCTGACCTATGAAAATTGACCTCACAGTCATTACGGTATATTTAGTAAATTGCATAATTCTTCTTTATTGGACCTATTGTGTCCTTAAGCCAACAAATTTTATCTCTGAGACAGTTGATATGATATTGTTTAAGAGTTCGTTTGAGATGTGAGAGTTAGAAAGATTAAAAAAAGACTAAGTTAGTGGAAAATATCAGTGTAGTTACCATGATAGCAGAAGTGGTTGGATAATTCTCTTTTGTACACAGAATTCCAATATCTTTGTCTCAATGACTAGAGCTTCAGAAATCTAGAGAAGACGAAAGCATATTATCTTCCGGTCTTCACTTTGTTGATTACTTTATAGTAGGCGTTTGGTGAGATAGAATGACCAGTGTCGACAAGAAGTTCAGTTATCGCGTTCCTTATAGAGTCACCACTACCTATTTGCTACCCTGCATGACAGTGGTTTTGTAACCTTTTGGACTGGATATACGTCGAACGGCCAAGAATAGGTGAACTGATATATACACACAGAAGTGGTCAGATGTGAGATCTTGCATTTAAGGTTTTTTCAGACTACCGGACGATTAGACAAAACAACTGTTAGCATCAAAGCAAAGAATATTCTCCCCTTAAACATTGAGATTCTTCGTTTATTGATAGCGCATGTTATCTCCTTTGAAATCAAAGTTCATGAAAAGATTCTTTATAATAGTATTCATACATCAACACAAAGTGTTCTTCCATAGCAGTCAACGACTAGAAAATGTTGACTCCTACTTCAGCAGCTTTATTTCTGTTTTCAGCTCATAAATATCATGAAATTTATTTGTTATTTTGTGTATGAACCATACTACTCATTCTTTTATACGTAGTATATATTTATATACAAAATATTTCATTACGAAAGAAAAACTACTGTGCAACTTACTATTTTGATGATAATAATTCACATATAAATTCACAGGTTTTCCTTTATACACTGAATCTTCTATTCTGAATTTCAAATTTTCATCAAGATCTTGAAAAATATGCCCTGGATTTTGATGATTAATAAGCCTAGGAGAGACAGAGATAGAATAATGAGAAATAATTGAGAACAGGATAGCAATGTAGACAAAGTCACACTCTCTTATGGTCTCCATGCAACGACTTAGTCCCACATAGAACAAATATCATAAGTATATAATAAACAAGATGTTAGTTAGACTTTCGTAAATGTATTGTTAAAAAAGAATTCACAAGAAACTTCTTTACTTCTGTAAGTGTTAGTCAATATTACCTTAAATATAACCTCAAAAGTTATTGTCAATATTTTACCTTTACGTGATTTTCAGTCTTCCAAGTTGTCTCGCAGATAGGTGCATATCCGTTAATCACTACAGTTGCTTGGTTAATTTAAAATTCAGGAAGCTTGATGAAACAAAAATTTGATGCCTTTCAAAATGGTAATTATTAAGTGAGCTATAACGAATAATAAATTTTCAAGTATTGGTTTTGTAGGGATTTTGTTTGACTGCTTGGAGGATTTCATCATGAGCTTACATCAGTTAGAGAACCACCGGAAAACCTGGGAGTACTGGACAGCCGTTTCGTCCTAGTTTCGGACTGTTCATCGGTGCGTGCCCACCGGGGTTTAGACCCAATACCTTCTGGATATGTCGTGAATTGGCAGAAGTTAGAACTCAAGGACCATTGGATCAGGTCTCGGTGGCTCAATGGTCCACGAGCTCGCCTTGTAACCAGAAGGTCCTGGATTCGAACCCCGGTGGGTGTATACTTCTGAAGAGTTTGAAACTAGGACGAAACAGACGTCCAGTACTCCCAGGTTTTCCAGTGGTTCTCTAATTGATGTCACCTCAGAATGATGAATTCGCGAATTATACTACCAAACTAGACAATAGTAATAATAATATTCTTTATTCGAAAAACACTGCACTTGTAGTACACTGTGGAATTCTCAGCATTTGGTACACTACTTCATGAAACTGACTTAACAACAAAAAGAACAAACATTGCGGGGTAAACGGAAGCTGAAACGATAACAGCAGCTTTTTGGTATTCGCAGTGAGAATTAAGTTAGAAATGTACAAGACTTTTGAAGTGACAATAATAATGTTAATAACTGGATTGATAAGATAATTAAAATAGTGCCATCATAAATCACAGATAGGAGAAGACAGAAAAATGGTTACTGAACAAAGAATATTCTTTTCGATAACATGCTCTTCATCAGGTCCCATAATTATATATACGTACATAATAGTGAATGAATTAGTGTTATTAACAACATCAGTGATGTTTAAATGACATCGAATCAATTATAATAATAATAATACTCTCTTCGGAACACCTACCAGTGTGGCTAAGTAAAGGTGTAGTAAAAACCATCAATAGCTAGAAATTAGAACACCTGGTCCAAACGGTCACAAAGGTAATATTGAAGAATCCTTCTCCATCATCTATCGGATACCAAATAAACTACTAAAAGCATCCCGGTACCGAATACTGCAAATATCAGAGGCTATCGCGATTCTCCAGAAGAAGTAAGTCCAGGCAGCCTTTACTACTACTATTACTGCCCTGCCCGACCTTTAATGGCGACTATAAATTCATGAATTTCTAATATTATTATCTTTTCTAATTTGCCTATCTGATATTCAGTGTGTATTGTTATGTGTTGATGCTATCAAACTGTAATCCATTAATATTACCATTATTATTGATTCGATGCTACTTAAACATTAATGTTGCTCATAACACTAATTCATTCAATCACTAACTGTAGAAGCTTATGATGAAGAGCAGATTATCGAAAAGAATATTCTTTGTTCAGCAAACATTCTTTTGATGAAAATTTTACAGATTCTCCATCTAATTGTGTCTATAAAATAAAATGCTTGGAATGTGATGCAAGTGGAATCCGAATTGCCTGAATAGGAATGATAGACTAAAACAGAATCTGACCTGGTTACAACACCCCTTCCCTATGAAGTGACAAAATCAACACGAATATGACATGCAAGTTTACTATGTAAACACACAATGTCTTTATAATTTTACACACTTATCAAATCCAACAATCTACAGTTGATTTTGTTATCTTTACCGATTGACCAACTTGACAACAACAAAACATGACCCCAGACTGACGAACGAAGATCAGGTTAGTTAACTTTGTTTTGATATCATAACAGACGTCACTTGGTTTAGTGATCTTCATTGTTATTTTGTCTTTCAGTATGCCCTTTTAACTTGACCTAAGTCTGTTTCCTCACCTCCTAACTCTTTGTCGTATATATGCTGAGATTTTGTAAATTCCGGTTTAATAATACTCTGATAAAGCTATTAGCATTAAATAGCGAAACATCGGTAAAGACAATATCGTTTTGTTTGTTTTTCATTCATTGGGAAATACAAGAAAACCTTTATTTTAAAATTTTAATGGGCTTTTTTAATCAGTTGAAGATATAAGAGCTAATTATTTTACTAATTACATCGAAAGTTTTTGTAAGTTTTCCTCTAAACAATATCAAACAGAAAGACGGTGAATTAGAATATCGTTGGGTTTTTTTACACTTGATTGTGCAGGCATATGTAGTCTTTCATAATAACTTTTAGTCTTAATTCATGAGATTCAAGTGGGAACAGTTGTGCATTGCAATGCTGTTGAGAGTCGGAGAATTGCCCACATGAGTTCAGGTGTCTGCCGACTACAGCAATAACAAGCTGACTTAGCGACACCTTTTTTGGCCTACTGATAACCATTGATACCCTCCGGAATTTGACACAATCTCTTTTGAGTAGCCCAGGAAAGAACAATAAGGAAGATGCAGGAGTTGACAAATTGTGAAAGTAGAGAGGCTGAATGATACCTGATGGATTTAACTTCCTAATTTAGTTAGGCTAGATGGAATATTTTCTTAGAAATCGAAAAGATATGTGATGACTAAGAAAGGTTGACTTGGTTTCCATTTCAATGCCCTTCTGTATGCAATAAGCATCATGTTAACGGAAGACAAAGTGATTACAGGATTTCATCATGAGGTGACGTTAGTTAGAAAACCATTGGAAAACAAGCAATGGATTACTGGACAGCTGTTTCGTCCTGCTTTGGGACTCTTCATCAGTACGCACCCACCGGGATTCGAACCCAGGACCTTCTGTTTACAAGGCGAGCTCGTATACCATTAGGCCAATGGGACCCGATCTAACGGCCCATGAATTCTAACTTATGGCAATTCATGACAGATCAATCAAACAAAATCCCTACAAACCAATACATGAATATCATCGAGATGCCCACTAGCCACTGATTGTATTCAGGAAGGTAGTTACCCGGGGTTCTAGTGAGAAGTCGTGGACAGTAGGGCGCAGCAGGCTGGCTGTGGGGATAAATAATCGCCAAAGACTTTGGCTAGGGGTCGCACTATGTCGTGAATTGGCAGAAGTTTGAATTCATGGGCTGGCCATGGGATTGGGTCCCTGTCGCTTAATGGTATACGAGCTAGCTCGCCTTGTAACCAGAAGGTCATGGGTTCGGACCATGGCGGTGGGTGCGTACTGATGAAGAGTCACAAACTAGGACGAAACAGCTGTCCAGCACTTCCAGGTTTTCCAATGGTTCTCTAACTAATATCACCTCAAGATGAAATCCTGTAACTAATCAAATCCCTACAAACCAACACTTGAAAGACAAATTGAATTATTACAGGGTGATGATACAGATTTGTTAATTTCAAAATAGTCATCGTCTCAAAATGACATCAACTAGTGAATTACTGAAGACCAGGGAGCTGTTTCAATTGAGTTGCAGACACCTCTGCAGTGAGCACCAAACCGAGAAAATTCAGGTTATAGGGCGAGCTTAGTGACCAGTAGTCAGTCACTGGTTTGGAATTTCGAAAAGTGTGTCAACCGGTTACATAGCAGCATTGCTAGCCAGTGACACCAATGTGCTACCGCTTCAAGCTTGACATGCTTGATCCCGGTTGGTAATGTAACTGATGTTACTTCATTATGAATGCAGATGATATAGTCCTTCCTCCTAGGTGAAGACGCGGACAAAATGCAGAGTTTTCTGAACACCTTGAGCTGCAATCTACGAATGTTTGGCATGCGATTCGCTCCCGCCAAATGTAAGGTGATGCTACAAGACTGGACTACGTTGACTTCTAGCTTAGAAATAAGGAGTGAAGTGGTAGAGCATGTTGACCACTTCACTTATTTCGGAAGTTGCATCAGCCAAAACCAATGGGTTTACCGCTGACGAAATCTCAATTCGGATACATAGGGCTAGTTAGCATATACCAGTTCACGCCGTCTCTGCCGTAGACGTGATATCCGGCTGCCTATCGACCAAAGGACGTGTGTACTGCTTAGCAGTCCGCTCCATCCTCCTTTATGGCTGTGAGACCTGGCCATTGAGGGTGGAAGACATGAAAATGCTGGCTAGCTGTCTTTGATCATAGATGCCTGCGTTATATCTCCTGTGTGAAATGGTATAATAGGGTGAGCAATATTAAGGTTAGGCGTTGACTGCTAGGTAAAGAGGGGAAATCAATAGTTGAGGCTGTGAAGTTACACCTACTGAGATGGTTATGACATGTATTACGTATGTCTAGCCGTCGCTTTCCTCGACAATGGGCAATGTTGGCTGAAATGGGATCAGGCTGGTCAAACCAAAACATGGCAGCAGTCAATGAAATCCACAACAGTTAGTTTAAGCCACGTAGGAAGATTTAGACTTCCTGGTTGGGGTCGTCGGGACGGTAAACACCAATGAAGGCTGGAGACCATTGGTGATATGGCTCAAAATCGTTCTCAATGGCTAGAGCAGATGTATCCACTCCTTGTGACTTAAAATTTCCAATAAAACTATGTTGTTCTTCGAAATTACTATTGTTTCTGCCTCATATCTCTGTTTTGCATTTCTTTTTACTTTCTTCTCTTGCTTTGTGTGCTGAGTGAAGTGTGGCGACTTGAACTACTTACTGCACATCGATGCAAAGTTTTGTGCTGGAACCAGTCAGTCAGTCAGTCATTATGAAATCTATTAT